ATGTAAGAGAGTATCCCACAGGCCCTTGAATAGTCTCAGAACAATCAGACCTACTTCCCGATGCCGGCATCTAACCTACCTGCAACCATCTCTGTTTCTTGAAACTAGTTCTCACCTACCTTTAACTCTGCATTCCCACTCTGTACCTTACTCCAATACATTCATTCTCCAAACTACACCTTCTTCCGCCAAACTCTTCTGTCTCTTGTTCCTTCTACCATTCACCCTGTCTCTTTTACCTTCCATTCCTAATATCGAGAGAGAGAGAGAGAGAGAGAGATCTTCTACCGTCCCCCGTGTCTTTAATTTCAATGTACTCCACCCGTCCATCATTCTTCATCTGTCTAATCTTCTACCTTTCTCTCTACAATCGTGTCTCCGCTTCCTTTTCCCACTTCCTTCCATTCCCCTATCATCCCCTACTTCACTCTTCTTCTTCCCCCTTCCTCTCTTTTCCCACTCCTTACCTCTTCTCACCTTTGGTTATTGTTTTCCAAGTATACTTCATATACTCTCTTAATATTTCAATTCTGTGAATTCAAATGTACCATTTGCATAAGTAGTCAGCTTTGGTAATTAGGTCACGCAACCACATACCAATATGCATAGCTTACATACTGTCCCTTAATGCAAGATCTACTATAGATAGGATTCCGTGTTTGATTTACGAACATTAAACCTGGTGAATTATGAAATCCTTTGGGACTTGGTTAACAAAGGTTTATCATCAATAAATGGTTAAAAGGAGAAGGATGGCATTGATATTCCTGACTGGTTTACACTAGAGAGATTTTATTGAAAATTAAATCGTTGATAGAATATAAATCAAGTAATAGGTCATCAATGTCCGTTTAATGTCTCGTGATATTCTTAAAAAGGATAATACAAGATTTCGGCCATTGACCTGGCAGTATTGTAGCAGACATGTACTTGTAATCTCGACCGCATTGTAGTCACTTCACTTCTCGCTCTGAATAAGAATTGAGACCTTCGTGTACTTAATATTAATACTAACCACATTTGAGAAGGTCAATGTATGAAATTTTTGCGATACGTTTTTCTTGAATTGAAAGAGAACCATAGTTTGATTTTAAGGGATTGAACAGAGATTTTCTAAATTTGTATGTGTATAAAGGACGCCGATAGTATCAATCTGTACTATTTCGATTTTCAATCAGACGTTCGTAGTTCCTGCAATTCCACTAAACTAAGTGTTTGACGACGTCGCTAATTGCTAAAGGGCCTTGTAAGATAAAGCATATTTTGCGATTAATGACTTCATCAAACACTTATTTTTTGTGGAATTGAAAACCACAGACGTTTTCTGACTGAAAATTGAAATCATGATTTTTTGTTACAAAATCTCTTAACAATCTTATTAATAAAGTTGAGGACGTGAGAAGGTCAAATTGTCATGCAGTGTGTTTTCTTAAATTGAAGGTGAACCTTACGTCGGAATTTAAATCGGAAAAATGTTATTGATAGCCCTATTTTAGATCTTTCAGGTGGTAAATCAAATACTTAGGCAACTGTATCTCTTTAAAGAATAGAATAAAAATTGATTGGTCAGTCAGGAGAACAAAAAGAAAACAACGTTTTACAATTGATAATCATAGAACATATACAATCATACCAGTATATAGTACATCAAAACTAAAAACGATCCGAATTTTGAGTGGGGGGTGGGGGCAGCTATAGTAGTCAACAAGTTGCAAGTTTCGCTCGCGGGACATGCTATTCCTCTCGGATCACCTGCTTTCACTCTGCTATTTGACTGTCAACGCGACGTCACATTCAGAAAATCGACATAGCTAATAACGTTCAAATGGTAGCCTAAATTTTTGACAAGGACATAACCTCGAGCGAAGCGCCATAGTCTGATAAAAAAAGAAAATGGCGGTATTATGATAGTCCCGCACTTAATGATAATTAACCGTTTTATTGGACATCAATCTATTAAGTAAATCAAGGGATTATACTTGCTGCGGGGCTGATATCACATTATGAATTATGTGTTGACAGGATATATGAAATAAGTCAGGGAAATTAGAAAGCTTTCTCACCAAGGACCTGGCAATTATGATCCTGCTTTATACATATTCATTGTAATTCCAAATTTTATTAGCAATTTATATGATATGCCATATTAGCCTATACTTCTTAATAATCCAATTATAGTGGTCCATTCAGGATGTCTTCAATAGTCGAAGCCGTGTCCTTTACACAATTTCAAGCTATTGCGAACTGTGTCCAATACCTTGACAGTATTTGGCATTTTTCTTGTATCACGAAAGTTTGTCAATATAGATATTTGATTTAATTGCAGCATTTACAAACTTCTGTGATACAAAAAAAAACGTTTCTAATGATGTCGAGATATTGGACACATTCCGTAATAGCTTGACAGAGGAAGCCCTGAGGCTGTAGTCGAAATTCCCCGACAACTGGAAATCGAAAACGAATAGGCTCATTATCCCAATTATGTACCTAAAAGTAGGATGTTCCATGGGTTTTATTTTCTATTTGCATCGGATTGATAAGGTGGTGTTACACACTTGAATGCATTTTTTTAATCGCTAGAAAAAAATCTGGTTTGCCTATTTTCGACGTTTTTGATTGTTTCTCAAAATTCAATATCAAAATCCATAGTCTGAAACCAGTGTCCCATAATATTAGCAATATCCGAAAATCGCATCACATTATTTACAAAACTTATATTTTGTTGAAAACTGGGAAGGGATTAAGTGAATATTGTAATAAACCCTACAAAACCACCTCCTTTAATTTGTCTAAATTCTCTGTCAAAGAGTAGTACGACAGGCAACCCCTCAATCTTGTGCTAACACTAATGAATAAAGAATCTACTATTTTTTTTCTGATTCGGAATAATTAGGCCGGTGAAAATTTCCGGACCGGATACATTGACATGGTTCTCCAATGAGCTTACTGGTATATTGGGACCTGGAGGAAACGATAGCTATTAATAGTATAAGAGAGTACGGAAATGAAATCAAATGAGTTGTCGAACTGACAGTTCAGCGTCAGTCATAGATCATTATCGCTCGATGACTGTTGATTAGAGCCCCAAAGAAAAAACAAGGTACTGTTTTCAGACCATTTAAAGGACGGATTCGCCATCCATTTGGCCAGTCGTATCTAACCCTCAAACACAGTACGTTTTGAACTCAACTGATGTGTTAGTGTCCTCAGCTCACCATCGACAGTCCAAAGTTATCCGCTTTTGAAAGTTAACATGACGACTCGTCTTTCTCGAGACTCATACACAGGAAAGATAAATATAGAAATAGAAAGTAAAATTTCTAGTTTGGGGTGCATTTGGCTTGTAGGGTACGATAGTTTAGTATAATCATCTGTTCGCTTGTAGGACAAGATAGTTCCGTATGGCCATCTGTTGACCATTAGATCACGATAGTCCCATATACCATCTGTTAACTAGCAGAACAAGATAGTCCCATATAACCATATATTAACTAGTAAGAACAAGATAGTCCCATATTGTCATCTGTTTTCTTGTAGGACACGATGGTCTGATATTTCCATCTGTTAACTAGTAGGACACGATAGTTCCTGTGATCATCTGTAAGCTAATAGGACACGGTGGTCTGATATTTCCATCTGTTAACAAGAAGGACACGATAGTTCCTATGATCATTTGTAAGCTAGTAGGACACGGTGGTCTGATATTTCCATCTGTTAACTAGTAGGACACGATAGTTCCTATGATCATCTATAAGCTAGTAGGACACGATAGTCCCATAGTACCATCTGTGAACTAATAGTACAATATAGTCCCATACTATTTACCTGCTAACTAGTAGGACACGATAGTCCAAATTATCATCTGTGAACTAGTAGGACACGATAATCCAAATTACCATCTGTGAACTAGTAGGGCACGAAAGTTTTTATGATCACAGATCGTGTCATTTTGTGCCAGCAGGGTAAAAGATATCATTAAATTTGAAATTACATTTCAATTTTTTGGGGTTTTTTTTTTTGCTTTGTAATGTTTCGTGTTTAAGTCTGATACAATCTTATCTTTCTATGTTAAGATAAGGTACCCAGGGCCTAGTGTTATCTATGGTTAAAATTGTCGATTCATAGACCATAAGCGATACTCATTCCCTATTTTCCTTTAAAAATGATCAACAGTTCTAATCAGATCAAATGAATTATAGCCTAGATTTAGAAAAGAAACTTTACAACCATTCAAAACCATCCATAACTCTTTGAATCATCAAATTTAGGGCCATGAAAGAGTCTAATGGCCATTCTCTAAAAATAAAAATAAAAGATGTAACGAAATTGTTAGTGTAAATTGTCATCAACATCAACACTAAAGTACCTTTATGGACTACATTTAAATCTCTTAAAGCTGTTGTACTATTACTTGCTTAGTTGAACCGAAGAGAGAGAGAAATTAGAATATTTTAACCAGCTGGCCCTTGGCTAAACACCAGATTGATTCTATCCGGATTTCTCAGTACCTATTTACAATAAGGTCGTCTGGGATTATGATTTATTCAAGGTCATCAGTTTCCTCACAACCAAGCAAATGACGCCTTTTAATGAACCTACGCTCTTACAGAGTGTGCTACAGAACCCAACATACGATGGGGATGACGAAACTGTTGTTTGATACAAACTGGCAATGTTTTATCAAAATGGTCAAGCTTTAAATCCCTACCGCCCTAATCGCTTTTTTTTTAAAGTGTTAATTTCAGTTCTGCCAACTTGACAATGTTTCTTTTCGAAGGATGAAATCTGATATCCTTAAGAAAAGCAATACTTATTTTAGCACAAATTTTTATTACCTGTTGGGGCAGTAGGGCGGTTGGGGTTTGCAACCCACCCGAATGGTTAAAACGATAACCCCGAACTCTTCAAAACCAGTTGAGATAAGGTGAACTCTCGAGTCCCTGTGTTGTCTTGAAGATATCAAAACTAAAGAAAGTGGAACAATAATTCATTCATAGAAGCAACTGTTATCATGAACAACTGGGCTTCTCTTGGCCTCGCCCTTCTCCTTGGCTCGTGGACTCTGGAAACCCACGGGGGATCGCTGAAGCTTCTTGGATCATTTAAGGTACCACATGCAGGGTTTACAGAAGTTGTAGAAGATCATCACAGCAACAACCCCAAGGATAAATTCCATCTGTTTATATCCAGTTTCAACCCCATACCGTTGACAACAGACTATGTCTATGAGGTAGCTCACATTGGTAGTCATCTTGGTAATGTCGCTGGTATCAAACCTAAGGTAGCCACAACAACTGTAACATGGCCGAATGAAGTGAATGAAGTTCCAGGTAATACTGAACCTTCTCTTTCTGTCTCGGATTTGAGACCTGAAGTGACTCGGTGAATTGAACGCTTGCTCGCGTGCTCGCTTACCTGAAGTACCAGGATATTCGGCAACCCTCAGCAATTTCCGGAAATCTGAATCTGAAAATAGCACAGCGCCAGCAGAACTTTCACGGTATATTGTTTGGGTCCAAGGTGCAATATACCTTCGGATTGTATAACCCGGTTTCCCAACTGCAGTAATGACATTGAATTCAAATGTTTCGTTCTGGTCACTACTCTGGTCATCTACGATCTGACAAATATTTTGTAATCATGTTCTTTCAAATTTTGCTCAATAGCATCATCGTTTTCACTATGAATATCCTACAGCACATCCTGTATATTTGGGAAATCCTTTATTGAACAAAGCACTTTTTTGATTGGAGATTATGCGACCTTGAACATGAGATGAGGAAAAAATAAATGAGATCAAGTGGAGTACATCACAGAAAAAACATTCAGATTGGCATCAGTTTTCTGTGATCTTTGTAGTGCATGTTTGGGCAATACTACAGAGATCAATACCAAACAACTTACTATTGGTAACAATTGCATACTTGTTAAGCAAAGAAAAAGACGACCATATATATTCAAATCCCACACACCCCTGGATGCAAACTTACAAAATAAGCCGCCCAGTATAGTAACTATTCGTCCATTTTTTCAGAATCAGTTTTCCACAAGAACATGTTGACTGTGTCGGGAGGATTTCTGGTTCCTCTGAAGACTCACGGAATGATTGAATTGTTGGATTACTCTTCTGAACCACCAAAGGGACCTTATAGAATCACTGACGAAGCAACTGATTCCAAATGGTTTTATCACAGAGTGATGTGGTTGGACATGAACGGCGATGGGAGACTGGATGCTGTTACTTGCAGAGCTGAAAAACCGGTTGTTTTCGGTAAGGTGTCCAGTTTTTTCTTCCTTGGAGTGAAGCCTAGAAAATGATAGCAGGGGTGTATCTATCACGAGGAAGGGGTCAAAAATTAGTGGTATCTCTCCAAGGCGAGGCCTCAAACCCCTTAAAGTCTGAGGGCTGTCGCACAGCACCATATATTATGTTAAAGCATTTTTAGTGAAATAGGAAAGACAGACGAAAGATGGCGCAAATTGCCGCTTTCAATGTTCCCAATAAACATGAAAAATTTAGAACACCTGTTTACAATCCCTTTAACACTGTAAACCCCAATGATTCCGGATGTCAACGAGGACATTCTTCAACTAAAGAGCCCAGAGTTCTTGATTCTTTGTCTAACGACCTTAGACTTACACAGCTGTAACACCTTTGAGCGACTGGGTTTTGCAATTCAGCTTGCCTTTGGTGACTTAGTATTGGTAGTTTTTATATCATGCCCTCTGTTAATCTGATTTCAAGGTGGACCAAAAGGACAACTGATTTGGTTCGAGAACCCCGGTGGAAGCAATGCTCTGAAACACACGTGGAAATCACATGTTTTGGACAATGGTGCCGACGTTTATTTTGATATCGTAAAACTACCAACTCCTCAAGGTAAAAAGGACTGTATCATCACTGCTGGGTTCTTCTCCAAAAGTCTCAATATTTATTGGACAACAGATTCCAAAGGCCGATGGAATGATAAATCAAAGGTAATAAATTGTATTTTTTTTCATGGAAAATGTCGCATGTTAGAAAGTTTCGTGTCAGAATGATATAGAACTCTCACTTAATTTGGCTGATTTTGCTCGAGTCTATAAATTCTTATGTGATTATTAGGATCGTTAAAAAGAATATCGAATATCTAAACATCTTAATAAAGACAAAATTAACTTGGTGCTTATACCTCGTATTTGATAGTTAATTCGACAAATGACCAGTTAACATAGCATTAGGTATTAAACTACAAACCTTGTGACCAATTTACAGTGATTAATATATCGTGTGACCAATTTACCTTGTCACAATGTTTCTATTATGACCAATATACTGCTGTGACCGCATTGCTACTATGTTCAAAGTGTCTTGTGAACATATAACACTGACTAGTTTAGATTGTGACCATATAACTGTGACCTATTTATCTTGTGAACCTGGTGACAGTATTACTTTTGTGATCACTTAATTCTCATATCATATTACTATGACTAATTCATCGTGATTCCATACTATTATGACAATTGATTATGATCGTCTAGCTGGTTAGCAATTTTTCACGTGATAACAGTTTTTTGGCGACTTGCGACCGAATTTCCAGTGAGTGGAGGTTGAATGGAAAGAGGTGGGAGATTGTCCGAAGCTGTTCATAAACAAGAATATTCTTTATGTTCGACATTAAACATAGCAAATTCGGAACTATTAAATTCATCGGTTATTGATGCTACAGGTCATATACACGGTTCACTTTAATACATCCCTTTATGTCAGAAATGCTAAGAAATCATATCCAACACAAAGGCAATAGAAATATGAAGTCTATTATTTATTGTCCGGGAACCATTGACCGGAAATCGGTCTGATTGATTAATATGGTCAATTTGTATGGAAGCCGTTTGTGGCGGCGACTTCTTAACCGCAAGAAATAAAAAAATATTGAGAAAAGACAAAGAAAATTATGCTAAAACTTTGGAAACACTTTCCAAGCCTTGTCATCAGGTTTCGCATCTTTTGACAGTGGAAAGAGTTCATGATAAAATATTTTTGAGAAATCGTGAGTTGCGAAACGGCCGCAACCTGCTTCCATAAATGAAAATTGCTGTATTGGTCTTCCTAGCAGCAAAAGCTATCACCAAGAAGTTTTGATGAACTTTTGTGTTATGACCTACATGTTGAATAAGGTCTAGTTTTGAGGTAAAGATTTACGACCTACATAAATCCAGTATTTTTCAATTTCTTATGTTTGAAGGTGGTGAGAAAATAAGATTGAATGTGGGCAATGCCTCCTTATTAATATTCCCTCTTAAGGTGGGAATAGACGATGTAGGGTGTCCGGTGCGATGCACGGTGTGGTATTATCGATACAGTAGAAAACAGTAGAAGCGAATCGTGTCCAACCGTACACATACATCGTCTATTCCCACCTTAACGAACGGTTTTTGGTTAATCAATCCCTGATTCATTATTTATGCTCCATATCTGGTGCCCAACGTACTGATGCTTCCCTTAAAATACAAATTCTTCAACAGTCGCTCACAACCTGCGACAGATTGCGTTTCCTTATAAAATCATTGGGTTTAGTGCACTTCGTTTTAATGCCTTTATGGAGATGTTACGACGCTTGTTTAAAGATATTCTCGATTCAATAGCGAGGTCAATGTCGATTATTGACGACAATGGCACCCATCGTACGGTATCTGACGCTTCCTTCATGATTTGTACATGGCGACCTTTACATGGTCTGAGCTCATATTCTGTGACCGTGGCCGCTTAGTAACGACACATTTCCAGTGTGACGGGACTATTATGGTTGTTAATTTGATAAATATACATCGTTATTTACACTTTCTTACTAATGTTCAATAATTGGTCCTACCTTGAATCTATGCTCCGCATTTAAAGTTTGATCTTCACTGTATTTCCTGATGTTCTGTTTTGTACAGGTAAAGAGGAGGGTAATAGACAACCATATCAAAGCAGTATTTGATGTTAAGGCTACAGATCTAGATCACGATGGTAAACTAGATTTATTGGTAACCAGCAATGATGCTCATGATGCTTCTATGTACATTTTTGAAATTCCGTCCGATTTCAGGTATGTTGTGCTAGACTACATCTCTAGTGTATTACATCTATAGTTGACATCAAATCATTTTGGGGTGGTTTTTTATCCCAGTGTTTTCCCCGTGTGGACGAACACCAAAGAGGGTACTAGAATACTTTTTCAAAATATAGTCTTAGATAGTCTTTGTCAAAACAATTTAATGCTATCAAGTCGAACTTGTAATTTTTAGTTAAAGTTTTTGCTGTAGAGTGCAACCCAGAAAAGAGACTGACCCGGCTTTGCCCCACTTTCAAATTTTTTTATCCATTTGGCATAGTGACAGGACGGCCTGTGGCCCCCACTTGCAAATTTTCTGACTCTTGCTCGGCCCCCTCGCCTAATGTTTCCTAGCTAAGAACGTCGCTGTTGTTGTATTTTGCAAGGTCGTGCCAGCAGAAAGACGGCGTAGGGCATTAGGGGGTATGCGGAGGAATAAAAGGCTTGCAAGGTGTTCAAAACTACCTGATACGGATGAAAAGTAGACTTACCTATTTATAAAATGATATAAGAGTACACATGTCCTATCTCGCTTGTGGATTTTTATCACATTTATAACCATAGACAAATCCTCTCAAGTATTCTCGTGGGAATCTACAGTAATCAAGCGTCTTGCCGTTCGGGTGGGCGAATAAACTGAGGCCCTGCGTGCTACAGGCTGTGTACGTTAAAGATCCCTCGACAGTTGGAATCGAAAAAAAGAGCAGGCTAATGTCTCTGTCCTGGCAAAATTTCCTCATTTCACCCTGCATGGCATTGACCGTCTTCATTAGCCCACATGGTGCAGAAAAGTGGGACGTAAAACTCCATTCATGGCTTCAGAACTTCTGGATTCCCAAATTTCTGTTATTATTCCAGAACAGGCGCGTTCAAGAAACATGTAATTGCTACCAAATTTGCATCAAGAACTGGTGGAGTTGGTAAAGGAGCCCCGGGATCACCTTTAGTCTTCTATCCACAAGTTAAAAAAACCAACGTGTAAATATGCCAATTTAATTATTTTATGTCAGTCTTAGTTTCCCCAAATTTTGAAATTGCTCAAGTTGCATTTAAGGTTCAAAACAGGAAAGGTCCGGCATGTCGTGCCTTGGTTACTCATGGTAACCAAATACCTGTTGTCAATTTCTCAATAAACCGAGATTAACCAAGATTTTTAGAAATACGGCAATCTAATTTACTTTACTGCTTGTCCTATCACATTAGATTTTAAGTTGTTTTAATTTGGTTCTTTTAAAAATGCATGTTGCTTACAAGGCTGAAAGTGTTGCACAGTTTTGGAGGCTATTTTGAACAGTTTCGGCTTTGCATTGCGTCAGAAACTCGAGGCATGAGGCATCAAAGGTTTATGGAACTTTCTTTCAGTTTAATTCATAAAAATCATTTGATTTACAACAAAATGTTTCTTCTCTCTCCGAAATCTTAAAAACTGTCGCATTGTGTTATTTCAGTAAACCGTGGATATTGTTATCAGGTGATGACGACGGCCGAGCTCATCTTTTAAAACCCAGATCAGAAGCTCATGGTGACTTCAAATACTCTATGGAGGATGTTTTAGACGTTGGATCCGGGACAGTAGGGAAGATCGCAGCTAAGGACGTGGACGGTGACGGCTACTCTGAAGTGTTCATACCCGGATACAACCAGGGTTTGGTCCATGTTTATACCACTAAAGTATAGTAAACAAATATATAATTCGACAGTTACTTTGTTTATTTATATCGAAACAGTGCATCTATTTTCAAAACTGAGAAGACAGTTTGCATCACACCCTTGAGCGTAAAAGGTCACAATCTTAAAGTCGACACCAAGCCAACTCAGGAAAGCATTTGTCCAAAACAAAATGCTCTCATATTTCACGTCATATTTCCTTGCAGACAACTGCCGGAAAATGGCAGATAAAATCACTCCTGTGTCAAGAAAGCCTTTATGGGCTTTAGTGTGCAGCACAATCCATGGCCCAGAGATGGTGTAGCTGCTGTTTCAATATTAGACCTGATGATCACGAACAGGAAATCTTGTGGGTCTTTTGCGTCCCAACAAAGATGTCCTTGCTGACAACTATCTGCAAAACGTCATGTCTTTCTCTGCTTATTTCGTTACAAACATCCAATGGTATTCCTTGAACCAACATACACAAAAAATGTGTGAAAAAATATAAAAAAAACTCTTGATATCACAAATTTTTAATAATTAAGTCCCTTTCGTCTTTCAGAAATCGATGAATCACGTTTGGAATTGGTTCTCCTAGATTTTGAACCTGTTTTTCTAAAGTTGCCCTAAAATCTTCTTTCACTCCCTTGTTTAACCCTCGTGTTACTGTTCTTTGCCTGAAAAATTAAATAAGAAACATGATTAAATTAGGACCAAGGTTTAGACTAAAATAGCTTTAGTTTACTCTTAGCCTACTGGAATATAGCTTGGATTTACACTTACTGTAAAATAGCTTTAGATTGCACTAACTGGGAACTGGTTAGGATGTACACTTACCGTCAAATAGCTCTAGTTTACAATTACTGTCAAATAGCTTTAGTTTACAATTACTGGGAAATAGCTTTAGTTTACTACTGGAAAATAGCTTTAGTTTATTAGCCTACTGGAAAATAGCTTTAGTTTATACTTACTGGGAAATAGCTTTAGTTTACTACTGGAAAATAGCTTTAGTTTATTAGCCTACTGGAAAATAGCTTTAGTTTATACTTACTGGAAAATAGCTTTAGATTATACTTACTGGGAAATAGCTTTAGTTTACACTTACTGGGAAATAGCTTTTGTTTACACTTACTGGGAAATAGCTTTTGTTTACACTTACTGGGAAATAGCTTTAGTTTATTAGCCTACTGGAAAATAGCTTTAGTTTATACTTACTGGGAAATAGCTTTAGTTTACACTTACTGTCAAATAGCTTTAGTTTACAATTACTGTCAAATAGCTTTAGTTTACAATTACTGGGAAATAGCTTTAGTTTACTACTGGAAAATAGCTTTAGTTTATACTTACTGGGAAAAAGCTTTAGTTTATTAGCCTACTGGAAAATAGCTTTAGTTTATACTTACTGGGAAATAGCTTTAGTTTACACTTACTGGGAAATAGCTTTTGTTTACACTTACTGGGAAATAGCTTTTGTTTACACTTACTGGGAAATAGCTTTAGTTTACACTTACTGGGAAATAGCTTTAGTTTACACTTACTGGGAAATAGCTTCAGTTAACACTTACTGGAAAATAGCTTTAGATTACACTTACTGTGAAATAGCTTTAGTTTACACTTACTGTGAAATAGCTTTCGTACTGACAGACATAATATCTAGGTTGACTCTTCCACCTTCTTGAGTATCTAATAGAGCAAATTCTTCTAAAATATCAATACCTAAATAGGGCTAAGTTATATAAATTCGTTTAAATTTTTAAATATTGCACCATCTTCAGCGCAATTAAGCATAAGGAGCAATATCCATTTCTAAAATGAGAACATAAGTCATGACATGCCCATTTTGATCTAACAAAATTATCATGTATCTCCTATTCTGGAATATGTAATATTCAACCAATCAAATGCCCCAAAAGAATAAATATCAAAAAGGATACAATAAACATAATGAAAGAATAAATTGTAAGTGAAAGAGCCTTGAGTTCGTATTTTTTTGATGATGTCATTAAATAATTCATCTTGTTTCGGCCAATCATATTGTAGTAAAATCAGTAAGTGACCTAGTAACATATCGTTGCTAAGTGATGAAAATGCCTTTTCCTGAAAAATACAATAAAATACAATAATTAAGAATAAAATTAATTAATAATACATACCTCAATACATGTAATAATACATACCTTAAGACAAGTAATTAATAATACATACCTTAAGACAAGTAATTAATAATACATCCCTTAAGACAAGTAATTAATAATACATACCTTAAGACAAGTAATTAATAATACATACCTTAAGACAAGTAATTAATAATACATCCCTTAAGACAAGTAATAAATAATACATACCATAATACATGTTGTTAATAATACATCCCTTAACACTTGTTATTAATAATACACACCATAATACATGTATTTAATAATACATAAAATAATACAATACATGAAATTAATAATACATACCATAAAACATGTTGTTAATAATACATATCTTAATACATGTTATTCATAATACATACCTTAAGACAAGTAATTAATAATACATACCTTAAGACAAGTAATTAATAATACATCCCTTAAAACAAGTAATTAATAATACATCCCTTAACACTTGTTATTAATAATACATCCCTTAAGACAAGTAATTAATAATACATCCCTTAAGACAAGTAATTAATAATACATCCCTTAAGACAAGTAATAAATAATACATACCATAATACATGTTGTTAATAATACATCCCTTAACACTTGTTATTAATAATACACACCATAATACATGTATTTAATAATAAATAAAATAATACAATACATGAAATTAGTAATACATACCATAAAACATGTTGTTAATAATTCATATCTTAATACATGTTATTAATAATACATACCTTAAGACAAGTAATTAATAATACATACCTTAAGACAAGTAATTAATAATACATCCCTTAAAACAAGTAATTAATAATACATCCCTTAACACTTGTTATTAATAATACACACCATAATACATGTATTTAATAATATAAAATAATACAATACATGTAATTAATAATACATACCATAAAACATGTAATTAATAATACATACAATAATACATGTATCTAATAATTCATACCATAATACATGCATTTAAGCATACATACCTTAATACATGTAATTAATAATACCATAATACATGTTGTTAATAATACATACCTTAATACATGTAATTAATAACTGTATACAGTAGGGCAATATCTCATTGTCTAAACATTGTAATAATAATAACTGACGACCTTGACCTGATACAACAACATTGTCCTTAACCTCTTCAATCTCACTTGGCATTTCTAGAAACTCTATTGTATCCATGACGACTTCACAGGCTTTCTAAAATCAAGGAATAATCAATTTATTGAAAGTATATTTTACTTTTTGGTCATTTTTGGGAATTAGACAGTTTGCAAATGTCTGGTGACCTTTAATAAGACATTTTTTTCATCGTCCACTTGACCTAGTCATGAATTGATTTTGATAATCCAGGAGAGTTCAAAGCCACTTGAGCTGGTAGACTGGACCTTCAAAAATCTTCTCGTCCTTATAATAATGAATGTTTTAACAACAAAAAATGACTTACAGAAAAATTTCCAAGACAGTAAAAACAGCAAGACAACTGTAAAGACATCCTAGTCTTCATTTTCTCTTTAGACGCCAAAATAAAATTCTGAATTTGTGCCACTGCCTTTTGATGCAATCCCTTAAACAAGAAAAGCAAAACATAATCCTCAAAATCAATAGGAAATATCACAGACCAATATAGTAAAATTCTTCTTTTCTTATATTGCTTATCATGGATCCAAACCATAAATCTACAATTTAGGCCAACCATTCCACCATCTTCCACAATTCCTTTAATTTTAAATTGTCCACAGCTGTCTAGCTTACCTGATACAGAAACATATCCGTTTGAAAATGTCCCATCCAAGACCAGGTTTCCATTTGCCAGTTTTGACATAAGGTAATAAATTCTGTAACAAAAAAAAACCCTTCCTGATTACCTGATGTAATTGTAAGAGCCTTTGGAGAGTCCACGTGGTAAATAATATTTACAAAACAAACAGTACTTAAAAGCCTGCTGATTGACCAGTTTGAAAATCACATGACATCATGAAAATTTATTACCTCAGTCCCTAATGCAACCTACTAGAGTGAAACAAGGTAGAAAATTTGTAATTTTTCGGACTTATTTAAGAAACCATGTAACTTGGTCCTGTTGATGTTTATCTTACAGCTGAGATGTCATATTACCTCTTCGAAGTTCATCTGACGAATGAAGTAATTCAAAACATTTAAAAGCAGTGAGAAAGTTCTGTATAATATTAGATGAATTGTGAATGGATGCACTAGGTTGTATGTTAGGTTGAGATCTATCTTGTCTTAGTCTTTTTACTTGTGGTCTGAAAATATACAGAAGCATAGGGGAGGTGGTGGCTCAGTAAGATAGGGGTTAGCTTGCCAACCTGAAGGTCCAGGGTACGATCAGCAATGGTCAAGATAGTATATTCAGTTTTTTTAACCGGGTTTCCCCTGTCAGTGATGCAGGCCAAAGTGGCCGACTTTGATGGGACAATAAATTGAGGCCTCATATGCAAAAGAATGTGCACTTTCAAAGTCCCTCGCTGGATGAGAATCAAAGTAATTTAAAGCGCTGTAAAAGTTTCCCTCAATGCACACTGCATGGTGTTGTCTTTATAAGCCCTTTCAGATTGAGACAAGAAGGACATAAATAACTCCTTCATTTCATTTCATAGAAGGACAATATTTGTGACCCTTATTTTGATTTGCAGAGGATCTAGTTCTCAACCAATCAGATTCATTGAAACAACAAATTGAAAACATTGAAAAGACAAATGGGGATCTTGAATTCAATATTTGAAATAAAAGTATGGAAATGAATGTTGCTAGACTTACTGTGAAGAGGTGTCGTCATTATCAGATCTAAAGCCTTCCAATAATACAACAGGGGCAGTTAATCCTGTAGAACTAAATACTGAAATTGAAAATGTTCGAGTTCGCATTCACATAATAAATGCTTTATTTGAGATTACATAAAATAGAAGAATAATTAAAATGAAATCAAAGGATTTTTACCTCCTAATTTTCTGCACCATGATGGCTATGAAGATGGGCAATGTGCTGAGTGCAAAGAGGACAATTTTGCCAGGGCAGCGGCATGAGCCTGCTCTTTTTCGATTTCAAACTGTCGAGGGATCTTTAACGTGCACAGTCTGTACAACATGGGGTCTCAGTTTATCTCGGTCCCATCCGAACGACTAGACACTTTTTCCATGTCAGCCCCTCTTACATGCATCACTGAAAGGGAAATGGGTTGAAAAATTATCTCAACCTATGTCAGGATTGAACCATGGACCATCAGGTCAATGAGCAAACGCCTAACTCACTGAGCCACCACGGCTCCCATACACCAGAAGAACAGGACCTTGAAAATATATTTAAACAAGGAATAAACAAAGCAGACCATACCTCCAGCAAAGTTGTCAGCATCTACATGGCTAACATAGGAATATAAACATTGTAGAAATAATATAGTACAAGTATATAATATCTGTTTTCTCTTTTCATCTGTTATACCTCCAGTCTTATAACGATTATACAGGCTTAATAAATACTGCCATTGGTAATCACTGCAAAGACATGTTATTCAAACCATTTTCAAATATGAATTGAGTTTTCAATTGTCTAGCCTAGGGTGCCAGGGGGGCAAAATTTTTTACTAACTATAGTGAGTCAACAAGTCATTTAAGTCTTCTAAATTTTTCAGGGGGGACCAAAAGTTTCTCCTGGCCCCCCTCTAGCTACGGGCCTGGTCTTTGGGTTGAAGTAAATGTAAAATCATGTGGCATGTTCTTTTAATTAGAAGGCCAAAACAGGCAGATCAGGGGAGATAACTATGTTATATACATGTATATATAACATTATGATACTTGTACCAGTAACTGTAGTATTTTTTGCAAACTTTTTTTCAGAAATTATCAAATTCTTCACATTATATCAGGGGAAATAACTGTTTGTATCCTCCATACTTCTAAGCTATCACAAAAAATTCATTTCTATTAAGGTTTTGACAAGCTACATTTAAAAATTTAACCAAATTACCATGGAAAAAATGCTTTTTCAAAGAGTGCAATGACCTAATGTGCAAGCAAAAAAAACCTGTGAAACGCCTGTATTTCCTTATAATAAACTTATGGATGGAGATATAACTTTTTCTAGATTATCCTACCGTGACTTTGTAAAGACATCTGGTTCCATCTCCCAACCAGCATGTGTACCAACTAACTGTAGCAAACGGAATAAGTTACCCCAAGGGTCTAATATCTGACTTTCTCTCTCCAGTAGACCTGGTATGTTGATTATTTTCTTAGATAAAGCTTTCGTTGGGGACATCATATCTGTTGATGACAAATAATGACAAAAAATACAGAGTGTGCATAGTGGCAGTAACCTATTTGACTTAATGACACCCTCAATTTTTAGTGAACTCTTCCACACATGCAAGCTTTCAATCATTAAGCTGCTGTATATGTTTGTTTGGAAGAACTTATTTGTAAACTTGGGGGTGTTTTTGTTGTCTCTGAGAAATGATATCCAGCCTTAGGTGTATATGTGCAGAGAATACCTAGTACATTCCTTTTTTTAACCCATTCTGATAAATTTTGACTTGAAAGTGCATTCTAGGAAGCAGTGGCTAAGGTATCAAAAAGCGGATAAAAGCGAATATAAAACTACGTCTTATTGCCTTTGTAACCAAAGAGCTTAACATACCAGGAGAAAGAGGTGTGTCCATTGTATTTGGTTGTGTAATAAAACTGATATAAAACTCTACAGCTCTCTGTAGCCAGATAAAGAGCTGTATAGTAGGTATGGTCATAGGCCGATTCTTCTGTAACACTAATGGCAGAATATCACACACTGTAAAAAATAACAGTCAAAATTACACACTGTAAAAAATAACTGTCAAAGTTACACTGTAAAAAATATCAGTTGAATTACACACTGTAAAAAATAATGGTCAAATTTACTCACTGAAAAAAAAATTGTGGTCAAACTTGAAAACTGTAATAATTTACTATCAAAACTTACACTGCAAAAAATAACTGTCAAACTTACACTGTAAAGAATAACAGTCGAAATTACACACTGTAAAAAAATATGGTCAAAATTTACTCACTGTAAAAAAAATTGTGGTCAAACTTGAACACTGTAATAAATTACTATCAAAACTTACACTGTAAAAAACAGTGAAACTGTCAAACTACACACTTCACAATTCAGTCACAATTACACACTGTAAAAAATAACCGTACAAATTTCACACTGTAAAAAATAACTGTAGAAATTTCACACTGTAAAAAATAAGTCGAAATTAAACACTGTAAAAAAATAAGTTAAATTACTCGCTTTAAAAAATAACATTTAAAATCACACTGTAAAAAATAATAGTAGAAATTTCACACTGTAAAAAATAACATTCAAAATCACACTGTAAAAAATAACAGTAGAAATTTCACACTGTAAAAAATAACTGTCGAATTACACACTGTAAAAAATAACATTCAAAATCACACTGTAAAAAATAACTGTCGAATTACACACTGTAAAAAATAACTGTCAAAAAGCACAATTATGTGTGAAAGAATGGAATCGGGTGCTAAAGTAGATAATATATGATATGAGTAACATACCGAATAGTTTTCTATAACAGTTCACTACAGATAATCTAGCTCTACTTTCTTCTATTGACAGCATTTCTATCAACTTCAACTGTAAAATATATATAGTACAAACTATTACACGTCTTCCTGCTGTCTCATTCACAATGCAAATAAAGGGCAATAACTCTGTTTCCCTTAAATAAAAAATAATGAAAACCAACTGCATTTAAATCTTATGGAGATTGTATTAAAGCAACTTCATTCAATCAAAAATAATATAACAATAATAATAATAATAATAACAATAAAGTACACTAAGTCCCTGAATGAATGAATGCAAGTGACAATAATCTACACCCACAGAAATGTCAAAAGTCCAGAGAACTTACCCCATGTTCCACAACAAGATTAGGAAATTTCTTCATAGCTAATAACAAGAGCCTACATCTTTCTAAGACATCCCCTATTTTATCAGCTACAGACAATAACATCTGACACTGTACATGTGTTGGTATAGCAGCAAATATCTCTATAATTATATAGAACAAGATTTTGATCCAATGACACTAGAAACTAATTAATAAAATCTAAAGAAAAATATTAGTTATAAGTGAAATTAACAAAACAAATAAACAACCTTTAAAAAAAATGCTTTAATGCAAAATTAGGTGATTGTTGATACAAAGGAGAGAACATACCTGTCAAAAAACTGCTCTGAGAATCTGCTGTCTCTTTCTGTAAAGCTCCCAAAATAGACTGAACTTCATTCCATAAGCTGGCTTCATTCTGGAAGTTTTTCAGCCTGAAATACATACATTAACCCAGAATCAAATATATTTCTCATTTAACTTAAGATGTTGCACCAGGATCTAGACAATGCAACAATGGAATAGTTCAGTTGATAGCATGTTAGATTGTCATCTGCAAGGCTATTAGGTGTCGCTTCAAATCTTCTTCAAGGTAAGAAGAATTCTGATGCCACGATCAGTGTTTCTGATAGTGAGTCTCAGTTCGATGTTGGCTTCAACCCCTGTAATAATGCTATTGTATTATGTTATTTATGCCTAAACAGATTGTTGGCTTGATTCGCCATCCACCCATTTTCAATTTCGTTACTTGTGGTTTGGTTTTTATTAAGTTAAAACCAATTATTTCACCAATATGTCGAATTCCCCAAGGCAACACAATATAAGTTTAATTGTACTTATATATCTTACATGTCTTCAAGATGTGATGCAGCATCTTTAATATTTTTAGCAGCCTTTTCTATCTGGTAGGATTCAAACTGTAAAATTAAAAAAGATGAATTACAACTAAATTTTCAATTGTACTTGAAGTGAAAACTTGATCATGTAGTGAACACCTTCCTTCAATAATTTCTTAATTTATCCATATACTCTCTTTTTTTTTTCTAGTTTCATCCTCATAAATCTTTATGATTGTCTTTTTTGTTGTATATAGAGGAGGAGAGGGGGGCTGGGAGTAATTCTCAATAACAATACAATTCATTCGATTTGACAAAGATTTTGACCTGAATGAGAAAGGAGCCAGGGAATAGAGTTCGAGCAGTTATCAACCATGCTTTTGCAGCCCATGGATCTGTTTTGGCATATCCTCTTGCTCGCATAACAAGCCATTCTGCATCGGAGAGAACAGAATTATCTCCAGAAGACGCCATGCTTGTGTTTCGTACAATTGTAAAATTTGGCACGAAGATATATTAATACAAATTCCAGTTCAAATTGGAAAAAATCTACCTGTATAAAAATCTTTAGGTTAACAAATTATTTAAAATACTTCAAAATAGAAACATTGCTAAAGCTAGGCCATAAAATCATAAAAGAAAAGATAAGTCAACTTTCGTTCTGCGTTATCATATTTATTGTGTTTTGTACAGAGCTGGACTTAATTAGACTTTACAAGAAAAGAGCTTAGTCTTGATCAGCATGACGCTTTTGTCAATGTAATAATTCAAACAAATTTACGTAGACTGGATAATTCTGCCTAGAGAGAAGAATAGCAGGTGCTTGTTTTCCTTGAAGCCGGCTACATTATTGGATAAATTGCTGATTTAGATAACAATAGAACAATTGTTAAATTGATGCGACTTTTTAGTAGGTCGCTCTTTGATTTGGCTTCAAATCATTCCAGAAATTGTATTCGCGGTGTCAAGAAAATGGTAAGAAATTGTGGAAACATCCTTTTTTGCAAGCATTGCCTAACAGTAGATATTTACCACAGCAGTGCTAGTGAAAAATCGCCTTTAGTAATGTTTTCTGCTTTAAATGTGTGCTAAATGCGAGTCTTAATTTTTATGGTCGGATAGTAAATCAGATAATTCAATAGCATAGGTTCCTATCCCCAGTTTTAACAAGAAAACATGCCCTGCAATTTAGAAAAGATTTGTTTTGTTAGATATGAAATGTATTTGTAAATTTTATCTAAATTTCAGGCCTCTGATGCAAAACGTTCCAAATTAACAACTGAACAAAGAGAGACAACTCTTGCACCACTGACATCTGCTGGTTGGTCTCTTGTGGAAGGTAGAGATGCCATTTACAAAGAATATCTCTTTAAAAACTTTAATGAGGTAGGTTTGATTTTAATATTATTCATACCTGGAGTAAAAGAAGATCTTTGTTGAAGGTATAAATGCCACTTCATATATTTAAATTGTAGAGACCAGGTATGAGTCAGTAGGGTTCTGTCTATCGAGCCATTGTCTCTGGACAATATTTGGGTATTTTTTCACATACTCTCTTATGTTATTTCAAACAATGCATATGGCAGCCCTAGGAAGTTATATTTTCATATGCTTTTTACTATAGTGGGTCATCTAGGCCTATACATTAAATAGCTGTACTATGTTTTCAGGCATTTGGTTTTATGACACAAACAGCTTTACAAGCTGAAAAGATGAACCACCATCCAGAATGGTTCAATGTCTATAATAAGGTAAGTGAGATAATTGAGGACAGTCAATGTCAAGGGGTATGCAATGAGGGAAATTTTTCCAGGACAGTTGTATGAGCCTATTCTGGTATAATTTCAAACTTTAGGGATCTTCGATACTAATTGCCTGTAGCACACACCTCCAGTTACATTTCCAATCTTTCCTTTCAGGTCCAAGTAACGCTGACCACACATGATGTATCTGGTCTCTCAGAGAAAGATGTTAGGTTAGCTAACTTCATGGAAACAGCTGCCCAGAAATACAAATAAACAGCTAGATTGGTTTATAAAGATATAGATAATACATGTATTCATTTGAACCATATAGTGTTATAGAAACTTGGGTAGAATGGACAAGTTTTAATGCAGTGGTTGTTTAAATATTTTGGTTTAGGACTCAAAGCAGCTTTCAGTAATCAAATGTGACTTATGATGCAAAAAAAAAAACACTTGAGGTTTTGATTGACAAATGAAACGAGGATTCTTCCATATCTTTTAAATTTTGACCCTCCACGATTTGCATATGATTAAACAATGAAATTTTTCTAAATTTTTATGTAACAGATTATGACTTAACGTTGAATATTTGACTGCTGGTAACTTGTATCCATATAATATAGAAGAATATAATAATAATTGATGGTATTTGGGTTATTAATAGGTTGTTGGAGTGAATTTTTTAATGTATTTGTGCAATATTTATCAATTGTTAAGGGGGCTTATGTTGACCTTGTGTCTGGAATTTATAAAGAATGCTATAACTGGGGCATCTGAGAGAATTTGATCAATCACTGGATTAAGTCAACAGTATGAACTGTGGACAAAAAATTTTCATTTGCAGTCAGTTTTTTATGTCCTGTTTCCAACCAAAAATTGGATTTTGTCATTTGCTCCCCCCTGGATTTTAGAGGGCAGTAGTCATGGTTTTGGGCGCGGTGGGCCTCCCCCCTGGAAAAGAGGAGAATACATCTAACGTGATTTTGGCCTTGAAAGTAGAATACATTTTTCTTTTTTTTCCATGATCCCCCCTTATATATGCCACTGAGCGAATTATTTTGCATTTGTTTTATTGATGTATGTGGAAAATCTTTTTTATATAGATTGTAGTGCGCATTTAGTATTAAGCATTTTCATATCTAATCAAATCAAAATTTCCTTGAAAAATCTGAAAGGAATCATATGAATGTAGTATTGAGTGTTGTTTGTTGTTTTTTGTGTGTGTATATTCATAACATTCCATAATAAAATCAATACAAATCAATAGTGAATCTGGTTGTAAGGTTATTTTTAAAACTGCATAACTGCCAACTTCGTCTTATTCATAGCCACCTCTATCATGGAATGCAGCGATTTGATTGATTGGTTTTACGCCAACAAATTCAGCCAATCAGTACTCTTGACAGAAGGACATTATGGCTTATTGTTGACCCACTTTCTGTCGAGGGCTATGATCCAACCAAATCACTGCATTTACTCTTTTGTGATACAAGAAAAGTGGCTTTTGCAGCCAAGGTATAAGACCAAGTTCGTAATAGCTTGACATTGTGAAGATGATTTAAATGTAGATCTTTGATTTTTGAAGAGGTCACTTCTGTTGTGAAATGAGCATATTTTTTCATCTAATATATCCATAATGATCTTGTACGCAAGATTAAACGAAAATTGCTGCTACTAAGTTATAATATCCAACTCAAGAGTGACTTCCCCTGACTAATGTAGGCATAAAAGCCTTGTTGAATTTAAACGTTATTTAAAGAGTTATTTCCCTTGGACCTGCCTACAACAGAAAGTTGATTCAGTGAATATCTGTCGCTTTTAAATTCCCACCCTGTAGTAATGTAGTATAAAATGTCGGTTTAATATTGAACCGTATTGATGAGCAACTCATGAGAAGTAAAAATAAAATTATTGAATTTCGCGAACACCTGTTGCGTACCACGTGACACGCAATATATTACTACAATATAGGCCTACTGCAGTGTTCCAATTCAGTGCATAGATGTCGTTTTAATTTGTTTTGTGTTGGATTAAATAATATTGAGAAAATGGTTGACCATATGACCAGGGATAATATAGGATAGAGGTCAGTTTTACGTTAAACTTAGGTCATTTCATTATTAGCTTAGAACTGTTCAATGGCGTTTCTATAAATCATAACGTGTTTTGTGATAAGGTCGAGTAAGGGTCATAGAATTGTCTATTGGGACCCACAGTGCCAGGCAGTTAAGAGCTCAATGATGAGAAACGCCAAAGAAACGCTGTTGGATATGTCGTATTATATACATTATTTTTATTACATTAAGTTAGTCAATCAAATCTCCACTTATAAGGAAGTAATTCCCAAAATTTTTCAGCCCCACACACTCAGAGCAATCACTTGATATCCGTATAACCTCCGAGCAATCATTTGATATCCTTACAATCTCACAGCAATCATTGATATCCTCGCAACCTCACTGCAATCATTTGATATCCTCAACACCGCAGAGCAATCATTTGATATCCTCAACACCGCAGAGCAATCATTTGATATCCTCACATCCTCACAGCAATCAATTGATATCCTCACAAACCCAGAGCAATCATTTGATATCCTCAACACCGCAGAGCAATCATTTGATATCCTCAACACCGCAGAGCAATCATTTGATATCCTCACATCCCCACAGCAATCAATTGATAACCCAAGAGCAATCATTTGCTATCCTCAACACCGCAGAGCAATCATTTGATATCCTCACAACCCCAGAGAAATCATTTGATATCCTCACAACCCCAGAGAAATCATTTGATATCCTCACAACCTGAGAGAAATCATTTGATATCCCCACCTCAGAGAAATCATTTGATATCCTCACAACCTGAGAGAAATCATTTGATCTCTTCACAACTTTAAACAATCATTCACAACCTTGAAAGGAATGAAATAAATGGAGTTTTACGTCCATACCTTTCTTCACCTTGTGGGCTAATGAAGACAGCAAACAACCTTAAAGAAATCATTTAATACCCTCACAACCTCACACAATCATTTGATATCCTCTGATATCCTTACACCCGCAAAAAAATGTAAATTAAAGTTTGTATTAAAGCTAATACCACCAATGTTTCCAACCGCACAAGGTTGACTCCATAGTAGTGGTACATCAATTGGAAAACGGGCACCGTGTCCTGAAAATAGATCCCCAAAGACAAATTCTTCCCCTACAAGTGTTAGCCACACCACACCCAGGGAACTATTAAAGCATCAAGAAACCTACTAAGAACACGTTGACGCCCTTACCACCATAATTGTTAAAATATATCACCTCGCACGAATAGTTATAATTCAGCTACAGTTTGAAATTACTTTCATCTGAATCACATGAAAACTGCGTTAGAGAAATTCTTCATTCCAAACCGTATACAGAGCGTTGGCAATCATTATCAGCTTAGCCAGAAGCAGAAAAGAAAGACGTAAAACTCCATTAACTCAATTCTGATATTTACCAAGTTTAATAGATCTAAACCTAGAAAATTGTGATAATAAATCTATTACTTATAGCAGATATACCTCATTGCAAACTGCAGAGCGTTACCTCAATGTTACCTCATCAAGGATGTAAAACTTCGTTAATTCAATTCTGATATTTACTAAGTTTAATAAAATATAAACCTAGACAATTGTGATAATAAATCAATTACTTATAGCACATTTAATTGAAGGTCACAAACCAAGTTGTACTAAGTTGTTCAAATCTAAACCCAGAAGATTGTCATAATACAATATTTAATACTTATAGTAAATATTCACCATTGCACACCGCAGAGCGTTATATCATTGTAGAGCGTCACCAACACAATGGCATAATTGGGAGTAAAAAACAGAAGGACAAAGTTATACAAAATCTAAACCTAGGGAATTGTGATAATACGATATCTATTGATTCTGAAGTGTGATTCACTGCACTTATTGTTTAAATAGTTTCTAATATCACACAGCTGGTGTCTAATGCAATACCATTTTACTTTCGTTTTCTTAGAAATATTTCAAATTACCCCATTTACACAAGATCAAAATCAATTGTTCATGTGGGGTGCATATTTTCTTTTGAGAAAAGTTATATCGTGCTAAGCGTGGCAATCCCATGGCAGTGGCGGCGCAAGGTTTACGCCCGGTCTGTCCCATGGTATAGTATATACAAATGCTATTATATACACGAGTGGCGTATCTACGAGAAAGGGGTAGGGGCAGGGCCTCTCCAGAAAAGACATTGGCTCGGCTTTGCCTCCACCCTGTTCTTACTCCGAGATACGCCACTGTACACAACACGACAAAGTTTTCTAAAAGCAATTTCATACATAACGCAATTTAAATCACTAGTTTACTTATAATGATATAATAATTGATTCCTATTTACAATTACTGTACTTATTACAATCCTTGTATTGAATTTACCGTTTAATAATAACTGGATTTACTGACAGAAAGCTATGGATATTAACAAAGTTTGCTATGGAGTTATATTGCTTACAGTCATTTGATATCCGATACACAGTTCAGTTGCTTTTCTAGGGTCGGGGTGGAATTGGGCAACGCCCTCCTCAGGCCCATGAAAGTTCTTAAATTTAGCCCTTAAATACTCATGGTAAATCTCAAATGCCTCAAGGGGCTTTGGGCTTCGTCTTGGTGGGACACCTCTCATTTGCGCCCAAGTCCCACTCCTCCCCTCTCCCTCAGGCATTTTCGATCCTGCCACCGTAACCCATGTGTAATGGTCTTTTTCGGTTAGTGATAATGCTCTTCAATAATTTTAATGTATTCAAGGGTGTGTTTCAACAAACTACATTTCAAATTGTTAAGTCTTTGTTCTTTACAGGTCAACTGTTGGTTTCAATCGACCTGAATTGATTATGCTATTAGAGAGATAAGTTTTAAATAACAATAGACTATAAAACATGGCTATTGTGACTTGGTGGAAATACTGCAATATATTTATCCTTTGTCTGAATTTGGTCAAAGGTATGTCAAATCCAATTATAGGCCTACCTATAATGTCTAACTAATTTTATGATTATATGAAAGCCAAAAGAGTCTGTTGGATGTACAACAACAAGATAACCAAAAAAAAAGTTATTACTCTTCTATACACCTGATACCACTTTTCATTTCGTTTTCATTTAGAAATACTTCCTTGTTTATTATATTTTCCGTATGAAAAGTTCATTAGCTGTTACAAATATTTTTTGACAAACTGTTAGTTTGAATTATTCGAACTGAACCTCAATATTAAAAATTTGAGCACATAACTACATTCATATATCCATAGACAGATCCAATACTCAATTCTAGGTTTGAAATTTATGGTAGAACCACAGAATGCAGTGGCCTTACAATCTGAACCATTCTGGTGGCATTGTCAAGCTGAACCGACAACTAACTCGGTTTCTTACAAGTAAGATTCTTTTGTTTACACAACAAAACTGGAACGAAGATCTAATGGTAAACTGTTAAGTTTCTTTTTTAGCTCTTGCGTGACTTGATGGCAAACAATGGCATAAGTCCATACAAAAAAATCAGTTTAGCCCTCTGTTTTGGTGCTTGTTCAGTCAACCATCGTCTACTAGGCTATAGCTATTTAAATCTGTAAAGAATAGTCTCTTATAGATCTACAGGGTTTGCAGCAGTACTTTGTGCTATTTGCCATCATGCTGTAACAGAACTATCCAGCTTCAAAGGATTACTTTGTTGTTGTTTATTGAAGGTGGCGATTTGGAGAAGCTGATGCGCCTACAAGTGACAACCAGGTAGTTCATCCAAATGGTACTCTACAGATTAAAGAGGCTAGAACAACCAGTTTAGGTCAATACCAATGTATTGTTACGTCTGGTGCCCAATCTATATACAGTAACAAAGTTACTTTCAATTTAGCAAGTAAGTCCTGAATGAGATCTGTAAGCCTATCTTCTCTAAAAAGCACACAGACGTCTTTGTGCTATAGATTTCCTTTCAAGTCTTTCCAGTCTCCGTATGGATCACAGTTCAGGCATACAATGTACCCGGATGTAGTTTACGTAACACAACTTTATCTTTGACCTAGTTGAACTGATGTTTTCGCTGTTCAGTGATCAAAGAGTGTACTTCGGTTATATTTCATAAGGTATGGGTCAGCCATGCTACCATTTTAATGTTTTTGCATAAAAATAATTTATTTTGATTCAAAAATACATTACGAAACAAGGTGATTCTGAAAGGTATGGAAGTATTTGACTTGTTCCATATTTTCAGAATTAAGCTCTATTTTTTCGAAAAATCCACAAAGTGTGATCGGAAATGTGAAGCAGCCGGTGACATTAGAATGTGAAATAGACAGCTATCCCGCTGCAAAAATCACATGGTATCTAGGTGATAATCCAGTTACCAAGCCAACCGTTACCATGGTTTCAAGAACCCTTTCCACCGTTAAAATAGATAGCGTTAGTTATAGCGATGAAGGAAGTTACAGTTGCTTAGCAACGAACACCATGTTAAATCAAAATGTGCGAAGTTCAGCAGCAACACTGACTGTCCAGGGTCAGCCGGAGATATTGAAGTCTCCAGTGTCATCAAGTGCGCCTTTGGGAACACCTGTGTTATTTGATTGTGAAGCTGCCGGAAGACCTTCCCCAACAGTCACCTGGTATTTTACCAAGACTGGTAGTAGTACTGAGGTCCAAATTCAAGTAAGTTAAACGAATCACCAGCTTTCCAGTAGTGTTATATTTATGGACCTAAATGAAATTCTATGGATCTTAAAGCTCGCACCTTTATTGATCCTAAAAACTCAAAAACACAGTTGAGTTTGTTATAACCAAGGACTGTATTACGAGACTAGCCCAGATGTACTGAAAGTATTTGGGCACTTTGGTTACTTTTTAATGGGTCTGAAATTAGAATTTGAAACTTTATTTCATCCATCAATCCTCATGTCTTTGTTTTCAGGCCCAGACTGAGTACACCATCAACTCCAACAACAGACTTTCTATTGCTTCTGTCTCAGCTAACCTAGGTGGTAATTATAAATGTGTTGCTAAGAATAGTGAGGGGGAAGACAGCAAATCAGCAACACTAACTGTGACAGGTACTGACTTGTTGCTTTTATTATTTGTCCGAATGCTGCAGTCTCTGTTTAATGTTTCGGTTAAGATATATCCCATCGCCTCCTAAATGTATGACCAATCAAAGCTTCGGTGCCAGGCTAGAACACTAGGCAATATTTTTGAAAAATGGAGAATAAACCATGGATAAACGTAGAACATGTTTCATTGCTTTTAATCCGAATCCGGTATTTCTAAATGTGTATGTAGTTTACATTGATAAAGTATCATACATTTAGAAAATTTTTTCACGGTCTTTTATCGGAAACTTTTTTTTTCACACAAAATTGTTGGATCCTCTACGTAAATTACCGATTTGACAAGAACGTATATTTTCAGGTCCTGTGGCAGCTCCAGTATTTACGTCCACCAGTGGTGATCAACAAGTGATAGAAGGAGACAATGTTGTGTTCCAGTGTATTGCTAGTGGAAACCCACCTCCCAGCATTACTTGGTCCAAAGTAAGATTTTTAATTCGGGCCGAGCCCGTCAATATCATGCCTATGCCTATGCCTGCTCTTTAAGCTTTGAAATATCCGCATAAAAGACGTTTTCAGATAATTGCAGATCAATCTTGATTTGGATGCATCCTTTTTCGTTGGAATTTCGTTGGAATTTCGGTCATCCATGAACGACAGAAGTAAAAGCAAACCAACAAGTTCGTATTTTCGCCAATCTTCTGTAATTGGACATGGAACATTGTATCGTGTGATTTTTTTATCTTATTTTAGGAATCAGGGAGTTTACCAGCGGACAGAGTCAGCTATCCTGATGCCAATAAAATGATTCTTAGTAATGTGGGCGGAAGCGATAGGGGGACCTATATATGTAAGGCTGAAAATACTCAAGGCAGCATAACAAAATCCTCAAAACTAACCGTCCAAGGTAAGATTTGCCTGATCAATTCATTTCTTAAACAGGGTATATTCATGAAGAACTAACTCTTCTGGCAAATCACGATGGTCCAAAGCTTTGTGTATTTATTATGCGTCTATTTAACGAAAACCACAGAGGTGTATCGAGCACCGAAAAATGCGTCAAGTCAAACGGAACAACATAGTATGTGTAACATGCTGTGATCCCTCGGCAGTTTGAAATCGACCAGGAATGGTCGCAGCTGTGTGTAGTGAAAGTTTAGGATTTAAAACATCGCAGCTGGTTTCATTGGAATAAACAATAAACATGTAATGCAATATCTTGAATTTACAACTTCAAAATGATACGTTTTGATCATTGTTTAAATTAAATAATTTATTTTGAATATTCCGTATTTCAGTCCGTCCAAGTTTCACTGTAACACCAACAACAGTAACTGTAGTTGAAGGAGAGAAGGCTACCCTAGCATGTCAAGCAGTTGGTAATCCTCAACCAACCTTATCTTGGAAGACGCCAGTGAAAGGTAATTTTGATCTTACATTGGACCCAATTTTCTATTGTAAACAAATCAACAAACGGTGCATAATCAGTAGAAACTTCATGAGTTAGTTGAAGTGAAACTCCAGGAGGCTCAACACTTTATCAAGTGGTTTTAGGGTCCTCCATAAGTTGATAAATCTAAAAAAAAAATCATGGTATTTAGTTGCAGACAGTATCAAAGAACAAAATGTCCCGCTGCTTTTGCAGACCCAAAGGAACAACTTTATCCCTAAAGGTAACATTCAGAGTAGATTCTATCAAAAGTAATGTAACCGTATCAGCAATTGGTTTTATGTCCTTTTACAGACGCAATCCAACCTGGAGAAAAAGATTCCGGAGTTGAAGTAGCTGCTGATGGAACATTAACAATAGAGCAACCGGAGGTGAAGCATCATGGTCTTTATGTATGTACAGCTACTAATACAGTTGGGTCGCAATCAGTGACCGCACAACTTAACGTTCAAGGTAATACGCTAATGAAAATGATATGAAAGATAAGGTCCCGATATATGATTGTCCTAAAGAAGGGCTTTTGTCATTAGAAACATCATTTCCAGGCGAACGATCTTAGCCAACTCTTTCTGGCTTCCAACTGTCAACTATCAGACGGAAACAGATATTCGATCTATTTTTTTACCCTGATGCATGCTTGTAAATATTTAAATGGGAAGTCCTACCCTAGAGCTTAAAACTAAAATGGTTGAAGCCCTTGGAGACAATCTTGAGTAACTGTACTATAGTGGGATAAATATAAAACTTACATTTTGATTTTATTGACCAAGCATCAGTGGCTCAACTAGAGTGGAGGCCCGTGCACTTAGGTGGTTTGGGACCCTTATCTGGGATTTATTTTTAAACATATGTATTTTTTCTCTGGGGACTGTGGTCCCCTTAGAGGTTTGGGGCCAGTGGACTTAAAACAACCAAGTTGGTTAGTAGTTGAGCCACTACCACGCAATTGATTAGTGTTTTGAGACATACAAAGCGGGCATGCTAATATTATCACTTATTGCTTAGGTCCTCCTGTATTCGTTCGACCACCAGTAAGTCAGATGGCTAAAGCCGGTGATGCCAGTGTAACTATACCATGTCGGACAATCGGTTATCCTAAACCTACCATTAGTTGGTACAGATTTGCAGTATCAAATAAACTAACCACCAACAGCAAATATGAGATCACTGCTGAAGGAGACTTGGTCATCAAGAACATCGTGGTTGGAGATAAAGCGGAATATGTTTGTTATGCTAACAATGGCTATGAAAAAATTAGAACTGCTTCTGTGAATGTTGTTGGTAGGTCAAGTATAAATTACATTGCCAAAATAAATCGGATTTCCCATCGTGAAATTTGTACCATCAACAAACTTGTATAAAGTTCATGAAAAATTAACCTGAAATCAAAAGCTCAAAAGCTAGTGCATGTCAGTTTTTCATATCATAGAGTTCTGACTTTGATGACGGTTCCAATAACGTAATAACATCGTTGTCCGGGTAAACTCTCAGAAAGGGTCGGTCAGGATACAAAAAAGTTCCATAGCAGTATCGCCGTTTTAAGTCTTTACTTCTCTCTGGATTTAGTATTTCTTTTAAAACTCATTGAACCCTTGGGTGTTAAATCATATTGGGTATTTTTATTTGCCGCCGATCAATGGCTTATCTTAGGATTGCTGTGGTCTTATCGCTGAAGTACTTGGCTCTGTATCACCATATCTCGTTTGCTTACAGTACCACCAAGTTTTACCATTAAGCCAGAGGACCAGAAGACAAAAATTGGAGAAACTGTAGTTTTACACTGTATTACCACTGGAGATCCCGTACCAGTTCAAAACTGGCAAAAAGATCAACGAAATATAGTCTTAGGTATTTGATCAATTTTAATCTTCCCGGTTTCGGAATTGTGAGCAAGAACTCTAAAGTCTCGAATAGAAGGGTTACTGCTTAAAGAATATAATGACTTAGATATATTCTTCGCAAGCAAGCTCAAGTTTAGCTGACCGTATCGGTCGGTGAGTAAGAAGTATGGTGATATAGAATAAAGTCTTGAAGGGTATCGACAATCGAGGGAAGATCAATGCCAAGAGCCTTGGCCTTTTTGTTATATTTATTTCTTTCGTTCTTTCTTATCCTCTAGGTATAACTCAGTTAATATTCTCTTTTTCCCCAATATAATGAGTTGAGTGGTATTTATTCCAGATAGCAACATGCAGTTGATTCCTGTAAACCGGACATTAATTATTTCTGATATTAAAGAATCACAACTAGGAAATTATGTCTGTGTGGCTTCCAACCAAGGTGGTGAAATATCTGCTACGGCTATTGTCTATATCATCGGTAAGTCTTGAATATTAAAAACACCATAGAGACATGAAAAATATAGGAAGGTAAGGCACCGAGACATGAACAAGTGTCCCTGGTATATCCATCAAAGAGTAAACCACTGTTGGGCTTACTTTAATATTAACTGCTAGCATCATATTGCTCTGTGTTACTAACCGTAAGGTAAACTTTTGGACAGTCACAGTAAAAGAACGCCATGTTTTGCATAGATCATGGGTCTGAAGGATCGATGGCTTCTAATGGCAGCTTACACGATTGGTGTTCTTGCTGAACACTTGGTTGGATCCAGTTTAGAATACCACGAGCCATACTATTCCGATTATTTCATTAATGCTTTGAAAGAATTTAAAATATTTATTAATATATATTTATTTACAAAATTTTATTTTCTCCTTTCAGCTGCTCCAGTATTTTCTCAACCCCCGATCAACACCTCTGTAACGTTGGGTAAAGACGTCAATGTAACATGCAGAGCTATATCTGAAACACCACCTACAATGACTTGGTATAGATCGGACGACTCTGCCAGTAAGACATCAGTAATCGTCAAGTCTGATAGTGAACGTGTATATTCAACTGCCGATGGAGACCTGAACATTAAGGTCAGCTAGGATTTACTAGAACAATTGCCAGTAACCATACCGTAGATCTAATCTAGTAAAATATATGAATCAAGCAAAGAACTCTTAATTATCATATTGGTCAATTCGGATCAGACCACTGGTCACATAGGGGGTTGTTCTAGCCTGTTAATCTAGACAAATTCTAACAATTATTCATAAAAATGATTCCAATTTTCTGCATTTATTAAATATGATATGTCTTTTATCTTCGGATGTATTATTCCAGTTAAGTATCTACCCAGTGCAAATTATTTACGTAACCCCTTTGTGTTCATAGTTCTCACAGGAACGCCTAATGCCAATTCCTACACTACTGGCTGGCATATCTTTGACGTGATATAATCTTTTAATCTATTGTTAGACAAGTGAAAAGACGGATGAAGGCTGGTATATTTGTGTGGCTGGAAACACTCTAGGTGAAACAGTGTCATCACCAATATTTATTGATGTTTTAGGTCGGTTAATACGGTAAACTTTGTCACTTGTATTAAGTTGAGGACTACGCTTGGTTGGTGTTTGTCGTCAATGATGGACCACATTTGCTCTTGTGGAATATAATGATAAATGCATCCACACAAAAATAGAAAATACTTTATACGCACTGAAATAATATTCTTTGCTTGCGCTTTAACAAATGAGCGGGATATCGGAAAGTATTTGTAATTTTAAGATATACACAGTTCTTCTAAAATGATGCATTCGGAAATCCCTCTAAGATTTGTCATTTTGTTTTTTTTTTATTCCAGTCGGCCCTAAAGTAACCAACACAAATAGTCCTCAAATGTCGAGTGAAAAGGCAGCAGCAACTCTTTCTTGCGAGGCAGATGGTGATCCTAAACCAGTACTAACATGGCACTCACCACGGAATGTGGCTATAACCAGTACAACACCGGGATATACCCAGTCCGGTAGTAACCTAACTATTGCTTCCGTTGCTGCTAAAACAGATGGTGGGGACTGGAAATGTAGGGCCTGTAACACTATTTCCTGTGATGATGGTGTGGTACAGCTCTTAATTGAAGGTCCGTAATGATTTGTTTCCCCCCATTCTATTTCGCTGGATATATTCATGTGCCTTATATAAGCATCCCAACAGGACAGTAGATATTTAGATGCTCTCTATCTACCAAGTGTTCCTTGGCCGAACCTCATAACACTGATCTTTCCTGGAATATCTGTACTCATGTACAGCTTGGTCGACTAGGACAATGAGGAAAGATGGTTAATTCAAGCTCACCAGACTTTCACACGCCGAAAGTCTTCGGGAATAGAAAAACCATACGATGGTTTTGAAATCCAATACTACGAACTTTGTTGAACTTATGTTTTCTAGATTTTGCTAGACGTAATTTGGTTATGGTAATTATAAGTCTTTCTTTCATACTTCAGGACCACCTTTCATAACTGATATCATTACATTAAGAGACAGTGTTGCTATCAGGATCGAGTGTAAGGCTATTGGATTACCTGCCCCTAATATGACCTATTATATCGGGTCTCAAGCCAAGATAGAAGACACCCCTGGGCATATCACTGATGGAAATAAACTCTCCGTAAATCCGGGTGACGCCAAGAATTCCTATACTTGCAAGGCTAGCAACAAGTATGGGTTTGATTCAAAAATGTTGACAAGTAAGTATTAGGCCATAAGACTAAATCTTGATATCCCTTGATATACGAGTACAGTTGATTCAATGACGACATAGCCTCTTTCCAAACTATGTTACGCCTAATTAACATGGAAAGGATTATGCCCATAAAATGTAGAAATCAGGAGATCAGTCGCACTTTCCTTTTTTTTAAACCCATAAATGTAATTGGAAATCACTGTCTATTGTTTCAAACTCAAAATCATTAACCAATGAAGTGTAATTTCAGAGCCTGGTCGGCCAACAGCACCTCAAATAATAAAGATCGAAGCAAGGGAGGTAACTCTCACATGGACAGATGGACAAGTGTCCGATCTACCAGTACTAAAGTATAACCTAGAGAAAAGAGTTGGTAAAGTTGTTGGATGGAAACCTTCGAATATGACGACCACAGACCAACAATATGTCTACAAAGCCCTTGATTTACTTCCGTACACGTCCTATATTTTTCGAGTCAGTATCACAAACGTTTTGACCACTGGTGAAATCAGTGAAGAGTCAGTCAGAATAGAGTCTCTAGCTGATGGTAAGAAAGAGTATATTCAACGATTAAACACGACCGTAACGCAATCCAAGTTAATCATAAGGCATTTGGGGGTCTGGGTGGTTTTGTCGATTGGATTATCTTGTATTGAGTGTCATTCAACAAGAGTGTCGGATAATAATATATGATGAAGCATCTTAGCGATCTTTTACGATCTGTCACTGCATAGGATCTTGCTACTAGCCTGATATAACATTGCTCATGCACACTACATGGCGTATCCCAATCAGGCACAGACTCAATTTTATTCAATGGGAATGAAAATGTGGTTTCATTTTGTTCTTATCCATTTCAGCTCCGTCCGAACCAACAAACATCACAGTTGAAGATTTAGTTGGAAAAATAACAGTTCGTTTTAATCACTCGGAAGCCTTCAATGGGAATAAGAGTAAGTGTTTTCTTAATGAACTCGAAATATTGGATTCTGAAGAAGCTTAGCCTTGAGTTCTCTTTGACTTTTAGAATGTGTCGCAATAGATTACTCCTTTGGACACGTTTTGCTTTACTTCTGTATTTGAATTTTATGCATTTTACGTGGTTATGTTCGGTACGCAATTTGCTATAGCGTATTCTTCATAATATATATATGACCTTTTGCAGATAACGTACGTTATGAAGTTGAATTAAAATACAGAAAACCTGGTACAGTGGAGTATGTTTCTAAAGAAGCTATTTTTAGATCAACCAATCAGGATCTGTTTGTAGAATTTAAAAATGTTATTAATGGAGATTACATTGTGGAAGTCAAGAGTAAGAATACCAAGATCAATGCTGAAAGTCGAACTATTGAATTCCCTCTGACGGTCAGTGATAAACGTAAGTCTTCTGGGGATCCTTCGGATTCTTCATAAGATTCCTGTTGGATTTGATGATGTTGGGATTGGTCACCAAAGCTTGATTATGGATAGAGGCAGAGTTGAGAGTTAAGCTATAAGTTGTCAAGGTGGTTCAATAGGGTCCTTAGTTGTAAATTGGTAAGGAAAATATCATTGGCAGTTCATCAGAGGTTAATCAGAGATCGTCCAACATCCTATTAACATTGTTCCTCAACAGACACTAAAAGCAACTGTCGCAACAAGGACTAGGGTGGGTCATCATTGAGTCACCAATGATTCGTCATCAGAAAGAATCCTAAGAACAAAAGTAGTTACTAGTGGTGAAATATCTCACAAAACCATCCTATTTTGATACGCTAGTCGTCGCTAGTATAAGTTCCATGTTTTGATTTCTATTTGATAGCTCCCAGTTTTATACCAGAAATATCCAGCGCAGTGGCCACCACACATGATACTATTGAGATCATCTGGAATGTAAGTGAGATTATGTGTCTATAATTCAGTAAAAAGCCCCGCGATCATATAGAAATTATGGGCAAAACAATAAATAATAAAAAAAAGCATGAAAATACTTATCTTTTATCACTGGGGATCATTTGAAACAAAAAAAGAACGAGAAAACACAATCGACAATTATGGGCACTATGTTGGCAATGAACTGATGCAGTGTTCTGTTTCTAGACTGTTGATTCAGCTTCACCTCTATACGGAGTTACGTGTTTGTTTTATTAACCACCAACACAGAATACCTTATGGTGGATACGTTCTAGAAATCTAGAACAACATTATGTTGCATGCTTCCCAACCGTGAAAACCCGCGGCAGGTAGATGGGCACTAGCTCAAACCTATGCCAGTGGTTCAAAAACCTAATCTGACTATTGCAGGGACCCGCCTGTAACACATCCTGTATACCACAAGTGCTAGGGTTCACTATAATAGCTGATGATGGAACTGGAACCAACAGAACCAACACCACCATGTATCAGGGAGATGTGGATTCTCAGATCTTCTATGTGACGAACCTAGACCAATACACAAAATACACTGTATACGTTGTAGCCTACAATGATGTTGGTCTTGGAAGCAAATCTGAACCTAAAACTGTTACTACATTATATGGTACGATATTTTTTTCTTTAAACCACTGTCAGTGGTGTTTCTCATAACTCAGATTGATCCCGTTTTATCCCCCCCAACCCCCCCTTCACCCCACCCAATCAAAAAATAGTTATCATTGTACATAGGGAATGAATGGCCTGTGCCCAATCCTCTTTGATAATTATGTGGCCCCTACTCGGTTCCGCCTTATGATACATAGAAACACCGCTGTATTACGTCTTTCAAAGACTCGTCCGTGGTTCATGGACTCGTCCGTGGTTCATGGATCAATTCTTGGATGTAGGCTATTCACGTGATGCCAGCTCATGTTATGCTGTCTCCTGTCTCCTGTTTCGGTCGGTTCATATCCACCAACGGAAACAACATTTCAGCACACTGGTTTTTTTAAGTATATATTTATGGAATGTCTTAAGGATTCGAACTCAAATAATAAATGTTCACAGAAATAATATACCAGATCTACGGCTTCCTTATTTGTCAGATTTATGGCATTTTGACATTTATGACACGAAAATTGGATTTTGAAGTCATTCAACAAAGAACAAGTTTTCATTATGGCAGAATGACATGTATAACAAAAGAAATACGCCTGCAATGGCCAAAGAGAGCATCAATATAAAGGAAATTGGAAACAGCGCTTAAAACTGCATTTAACCTTTGCAAGATTTAGTCGCCGATATCAGCTTTATCTAATGGTAGGCGTTAACTTGCCATCTACCAACCAACCAAAAGCAAAATGTCAATATAACGGAAATCTGTTTTATTTCAGCCCCATTCAGTGCGCTGGCCTATACAGAACCTTTGGGGGTTGAAGGATGGGTGATAGCACTAGTGGCTGGTATAATTGGGTTATTGCTCTTAATTTTAATATTGGTTATCATCTTCATTCACCATCGGAAATATAAGAAACAGGCAGCTAGTAGTCCTGCCTCTAGATTTTATTTAGGACAACCCAAGTAAGTATTCATTTTCATATACATATTTACTCAAAACTTGTTCTTCGGATGGCCATAGCCGTTCCATTTCATATCTAAACTTGATTTAACAATTAACAAAAGTACTTACTCCAGCGAAAAGTGATCAGCCAATTTTATGGTCTATGTGTGAAGCATTTAGTCTGGTTTTACGAGAACGCCATTGTAAATCTATTGTTCGCTCAGGTCTTAGCTTTGACACTTGTTGGGGTCATTAAACCTATAATATTTAAAAGGTATTGATTTTCCAATATTTAGATTGTATATGGACTCATTGAACACGATCAAAAAATTTCAGATTTTATGTGTAAGATGTATATTATTTCAGTGGAGGTGCTCAAAGAAATGTGGCTGTATAAATTAAGGGTAATTCCCGAGCACTTACATACACTTACCGATACACTTTTATCAATTTTATAATGTCACTTTTTGACATCTTGAACATCCCAACCTCAATCAAAATACTTCCCAATCGACGAATTTTATGAATACATCTTTAAATCCCAAATAAGGTTCTTTCAAATTTACGATTTTTTTCTTTAGTCCCAATTTTATAGATTTACACATACATACGTTATTTCGTATACATTTTATGCCCATGTATTCATGTAGTTATCGACATTCCTTTCGTATTCTTCAATTGACAATATTCACCCTTCAATGCACATTGCGTGACGTTACCAGTCTCACAAGGAATCGAAACTCTATTCCATTCCATGTCACTGTCTATATAAAGAACAATATCAGTCGTCGTGAAACAGAAGACACTTTCATTTATTATTACTAGAGCACATCGCACTTCCTGCATATCGTATCACGAATACGGCATGGTCTTATTAACATCGAGGAAGGATGAGGAATAGGGGTGTGGTTTGGACAAGATGCCTCCCTGCAAAGCATTTTCCATCAAATTTGTTCATGACCTCGACGTAGGATGGGTGGAACTCGATCGGTTTTAGTAGATACATCGACAGCTTCATTTTTACGTTATTCAAAACAATCCGCGTTTGCGAGGCCGGCAATTTCAAATAAATGGAACTAGAAATGATGGTACCGGTAATTTTTTGTTTGATTGCCGCAATAGGGTATCACCAGTACCCATAATGGTCTTTTCTTAATCTCAGCTGCAAATATCAAACCTGATTTCTAGAATATTGTTAACTGGTTAATGCTGTCCACCCAAACTGTTCATGAAGATTTGGCAGTAGGATTCTTATAAAGTCAGAAAAGGAAAATTGGTAAACAAAAAATACCTCTACTGAGAACAATAAAAGTAATTGCTATATTTACCTTTTTTCAGTTACTTACCACGAGACTCTGCTTCCGACAAGTAGGTCATTTTCTTATATCCCTCACCCATAGATAGAAATACAAAAAAAAAATATTCAAAATGTATCTTTAGTTATCCAAAATATTCTCTTCGGTATTTAAGATTTCTTTCAAATATTCAAAATTTCTCCGTCTACATCAAAGATAGAAAAGTAGGACGTAAAACTCATTGTGTTTTGACATTCATAATATCTCTCGGGTATTAAAAACTTTTCTTTTATATTCAAAATCTCTCTCAGATATATAAAGATTTCTTCCAGTCCTCAAACTTTCTCTTGGTTATTTAAAATCTAAACTTGTGCATATAATCTATTTATACAGTGGTAGTACCATGCTATGGAGACGTATTTTTTGTTTACCAATAACCGGCGAATATGACTTGGAACCAATGCACATTTATGGTTACTCATCTTCCAGCATTTCAAAGAAACACCAAATAAGTCCAAATTCTACACAAAGTCGTTCACGGTCTCGTTTGGTGTAAGTAACGATTGCAACTTAGACTAGCTCATCCGGATAACATAATCAACACATTTACATATAAGACATGCTTATTGCAGTGTCCATCTTCGAGACACACTTTTGGATCTTTAACATAATTCTGTTTTGGTCAAGCGTCAACTGGTAGATTCATGAAACCCAAGCTACTACTCTCAGTAAATGTGGATGCATTTTCTTTATTTCTGTGTCTTATTTTTTGTAAATGTTTGTTTCCAGAAACAATGATTACATTCAACATAAAGAAAATCCTCTATTTCAAGATGACACATTTACAGTAAGTCCTGCTTTTGATCTTTTAGTGTCGATAACTATCAATGCGACGATCTAGCTCGGATTTTTTCAACAAGAACATATTTTATCTACTGAGG